CCACGGCCACGGCCGGCAGCGCGTGCCGCTGTTCATGTACCCGCTGACGCACGCCTACTTCATGACCTACTTTGCGGTCCTGCAGCGCGCAGAGCGCGCCGTCCGCGCCCTGCTGCCACGGCGGGACTCGGCCGCCAGCCGCGCGCTCGCCATCTTGGCCGCGTCGTACGCCGTCGCCTACGCCGAGACCTTCTTCATGGCCACCGACGGCCTGGCCCGGTACTTTTGGTACCGCGACCGCGCGCGCATGCTGGGCTGGGGCTCGCTGGGCTACGCGGCCTACTTTGTCGCGGGATTGCCCATGGTGCGGCGCGTCGACGGCGGCGGTCGGCGGTGGACCCTCGGCAGAACGGTGCGCGAGGCGGCCGCAACGTGCATGGCCATCCAGGTGCTGCTCGAGGTCTGGGCCAAGCTTGCGGGGCCCTTGTAAACTCTAGGGACAAGTCACGGCTCTCACGTTTTGGGGGACCATTCAACCTCAAGGGCGGCGGGTGTGCCTCGACACAAACGTGATCTTTGCAACACCCAAGTATACAATAATAATATGGCTCCCACGTTAGTGATGCGATTCTACCAATACTTCGTCGTGCCGTCGTTCCAGTGTTGCTACAAACAATATACAATAAAAAAAAACTAGTAGACGTAGACAAAGTCCTCGTTCTTCAGGTCCGTGATGTCCTCAAAGCCCCTCTCGCCAACCGTCTCGTCGTTGAGCGCGTCGTCGTCGTTGGCGACGTCGCGCCTGTCGGCCATGCTGTAGTCGATAATGTGCTCGGGCTTGCCGAGGGCGACGCGCTGGCGGGCGTGGCGCACGTTGAGCACCTTGATGAGCAGCATGCCGGCGCCAAAGAGCACGATGAGCAGCACAAACATGGCCAGGTTGGCGACGAGGCCGCGCGTGTAGGCGGGCCTCTCGTCGCGGCGGAACAGCAGCGGGCCGACGATGTTGCCGACGCTGGAGCCGATGAAGAGCATGGCCGTGGTGACCTTGCGCTTGGTGTCGCCGCCCGTGTTCTGGCCCGACCACGAGTAGATGAGGGGCGAGATGCCCGGGTAGAAGGAGATGATGTAGTAGGCGGCCAGGTTCAGCGCCTGGTCCTCCTTGCCGCGGCCCGTCTTGAGCAGGATGGCGCAGCCGGCGATGGGGCAGATGCACAGCGCCATCAGCACGGGGCCCTTCATCTTGATCTTGTCCGAGAGCCAGGCGCCGCCGAGGGTGGCGATCATCTGGATGGCGCCAAAGGGGATGTTGAAGAGGATGGTGGTGAAGCGGTCGAAGCCGAACGACTCGATGATGAGCGGGCCAAAGGTCGAGATGCCGCCCGAGGGGATGGAGATGACGAGCATGGTCAGGAACCAGACCCACGTCTTGGGGTCGTACATACACTCCCACACGTGGTCCCACTTCCAGACGCCCGAGCCGATGCCCTGCTGGTTCATGCGCAGGCGCTCGACGGCGACGAGCTTGTCGTCGCCCTTGAGGAACTTGGCCGTCATGGGCGAGTCGGGCATCAGGAAGGCCATGACGACGGACCAGGCCACGGTGAGCACGCCGCAGAAGAGGAAGATGATCTGGTACGAGCGCAGCTTGTCCGAATCGATGTGGCCCAGGCCGTAGGTGAGCAGGCTGCCGAGGATGTTGACGACGCCCAGCGTGGCGTACCAGGCGGCGTTGCGCTTGGTCTGCTCGCGGCGGCGGTACCACTGCTGCACGATGGCGACAAAGGTCGGGGCGACCGAGGCCTCGAAGGCGCCGAGGAGCAGGCGCGCGGCCATGAGCCCGCCAAAGTTGTGGGCGGCCGTCATGCCGCAGAGCACGGCGCCCCAGCAGAAGACCATGGCGGTGATGAACTTGCCCGTGGGCAGCTTGACCAGGCTGTAGGCGACCAGCGGCTGGAACACGAGCTGGGCCACGTAGACGACGGAGCCGAGCCACGAGAACTGGTCGCCGACAAGCTTGGCGTCCTCAATCAGGCCAAAGACGGCGGCGTATGAAAGCGTGTTCTTGTCGAGCGACTGGAGGCAGTAAACGACACTGAGGGGAGCGACGGGTTGTTAGTCCAAGTGTCTCACTCGGTGTCTCACCCAGTGCCAAAGTCTCTCCAACACCAAAGTTTGCTACTCACAGCAGAATTGGTAGCAGCCTCATGTCGACGAGGCGCACAACGCGCTTGTTGTTGGCCTGGGTGACCACAACGGTGCGGCCAGCCTCCTTGAGGAACTGCTCGGCCTTGTCGAGGCCCTTGGTGGTCTTGGGCGCGGGCCTGATGGCATCATCGTTGGCCTCTTTGGCGTAGGCGCTCTCGACCTGGGCGGCCTCGGGCGCGACCTCTTTGCCCGAGTCGGAGGGGGTGCCGGCTGCGGCCATGGTGGGCTGCGGCTGCTGTACCTGGGGGTGAGGGTGTCTGCTGTCTCTGCCTCTGATCTACGTCGCGACAAACGCAGAATGGGCCACCGACCGCGATGGAAGAGGGATGAGGGCAGCAGTCAGAAGAGGCGACCCGAACGGCCGGTTCGTCCCTGGTATATGTACGTAGCGGCGCGCAGGGCCCATCCCTCATTCTCCAACCCCAAAGACGGAGCCGAGCGCACCCTTGATCATTTTTTTCCTCCTCAGTCCCCGCAGGGTCACGGCCAATGACTCGAGACCTCATCCACCTGATGGAGCGACGTCTGTTGGTGTGTGCCCCATGGGGACTGGCCGGGGTTGCCGTGGAGGCGGAGATGGCACCAGGAGCGTTGCATCCATCGCCGCCGTCGCTTGTCGGCTGCCCGAGGCGGGACTGGGGTGGCTGGCCAGCGGACTTGGGGTAGTTTACTCCGACTTCCATCCAACATTGAGGAAGCCAAGCTAGCAGCAAGTGCCAGCAATCAGCGCCAGCAACAAGTCCAGGCTCAGCTGCCACCCAAATCCCCATTTTACTCTTGAAAATCAGACCGAGGCCACCCCACCGGCTAGGTCCCCCCCCCCCCCCCCTCAATTTCCCCGACATTGACATTGGCTCCAATAACGGGCTGTGGGGCAAGCGGGGTGGCCCACCCTTGACTGAGCTGGGCGGCTCACGTGCGGAGAAAACCGGACTGTGCGCTCGTCGGGTTTCGGCTGCTTTGTCCGACCACAATCCCCAGCTTTGGCCAGCCACGGCAGCCCTGGCACATCTCCGCCGCCCTCCCTAACCCGTCGAGTCAGGGCCGCGGGGCACCTGTCACGGCGCACCACATGCTACGTAAGGACGCACCGCGGGAGGGTCACAGGCTGTCGTGACGCCCTGCCATTCGGCAGCCACCGCAGCGGGATGCGCGTCCAAGGCATGGCATCCCACCAGGGTCCGGCAGCCTGGAGGACCGCAGTGACGGGGCCCCGCGCGAGTCGGGCGGCGAGCGGCGCCGAAATCAGGAGAGTCGAGTTGAAAAGCGAAAGCTCCCCGCGCATAGCCCTCGTCCCTCCTCCTCGCCCCTCTGTCCGTATGATCCCCCAGTCCGAGACCAGGGGCTTTTTTTGTTGATCTGCTCAACACAGCACACACATCACAATGGGTCAGAACGAGCGCATCCCCGGCTCATGGAGCCTTGAATCCTCCCAGGACGCGGGCGCGCCCTCGGTCAGGCTAGCATCCGCCGACAAGGATCTGCCGTTCACCTTCTCCCTCGAGGCCGTCCGGCCCAACGTCTTCCGCACCACATACACCTCGCCCAGCCACCCGCTGCCACCGCAGCCCTCGGTCACGCGCGCCGAGCCGCAGCTGGGCCAAGCTACCGTCGCTGTCAAGTCGCTGGGCAACAAGCGGCGCAGGATCGAGGTGGCCGACGCCGTTGTCGAGCTGGACTGGAGCGGCGACACGCCGCTGCTCAACGTGTCGCTGGCCGGCCAGGAAGACAAGGCACCGCTGCTGCAGGACGTGCCCAACCGCGGCTACACGGTCGACGGCGACGGTGTGGCGCACTACACGCGCTACAACCGCAACACGCTGCACGTCGGCCTCGGAGAGAAGGCGGCGCCCATGGACCTGTCGGGCCGCAGCTTCAAGATAACGGCCACGGACAGCTTCGGCTACGACGCCTACCGCACCGACCCGCTGTACAAGCACATCCCGCTGCTCATCAACGCTACGCCCAGCGGGTGCGTCGCCACCTTCTCGACCAGCCAGTCGCGCGGCGAGTACTCGGTCGGGTGCGAGATGGACGGCATGTGGGGCTTCTACAAGGTTTACCGCCAGGACCACGGCGGCCTCGAGCAGTACATCATTGTGGGCAAGACACTCCAGGAGGTCGTCACCACGTACGCTGCCGTGCTAGCCGGCTTCCCGCTGTTGGTGCCGCGCTGGGCCATGGGTTACCTTTCGGGCGGGTACAAGTACTGCATGCTGGACTCGCCTCCGGCCGGGCAGGCGCTGGTGGAGCTGGCGCTCAAGATGAAGGAGCACGGCATCCCGTGCTCGGCCTACCAGATGTCGAGCGGCTACCACGTCGACAAGGTGCGCCACGTCTTCAACTGGAACCGCCACCGCTTCCCGGACCCGGAGGCCTGGATCAAGGAGCAGCACCGGCTGGGCGTGCGGCTCATCGCCAACGTCAAGCCCTACGTCATCGCCAGCCACCCGGACTACCAGATGCTCAAGGACGCCGGCGCGCTGTTCACGGACCCGCACACGGGCAAGGGTGCCGTGACCAAGCTGTGGAGCGCCGGCGGCGGCGAAAGCGCCGATGGTGGCCACATCGACTTCACGTCCAAGGCCGGCTTCGAGTGGTGGTACAACGGGACAAAGAAGTTGGCCGAGGAGGGCATCGACTGCATCTGGAACGACAACAACGAGTACACCATCACCGACGACGGCTGGAAGTGCGCGCTCAACCTGGACCGACCGGGCCTCACGGCGGCCGAGGGCAGCGGCGGGGCGGTGCCTGAGGCGCTCAAGGCACGGCCCGATGTCGGGCTCTGGGGCCGGGGCCTGCACACGGAGCTGCACGGCAAGGCATCGCACGACGCGCTGCTGGCCGTGCGGCCGGACGAACGGCCGTTTGTGCTGACGCGCAGCGCGACGGCGGGCACGATGCGGTACGCGGCCAGCTCGTGGAGCGGCGACAACACGACGAGCTGGGAGTCGATGAAGGCTGCCAACGCCATCTCGCTGACGGCGGGCATGTCGCTCCTGCAGTGCTACGGGCACGACATTGGCGGGTTCGAGGGCCCGCAGCCGAGCCCGGAGCTGCTGCTGCGTTGGGTGCAGCTGGGCTGTCACTCGCCGCGATTCGCCATCAACTGCTTCAAGACGAGCACCGAGGACAACTCGGTCGGCGACGTCATCGAGCCGTGGATGCACCCGTCCATCACCCACCTGGTGCGCGACGCCATCAAGCGCCGCTACGCCATGATCCCTTACCTGTACTCGCTCGCCCTGCTGAGCCACACCACGGCCGTGCCGCCCCAACGCTGGACCGGCTGGGGCTATGAGGCCGACCCGGAGGTGTGGACCAGCCGCGTGCTCAAGGACGGCGAGACGCAGTACCTGCTGGGAGACTCGCTGCTGGTGGGCGGCGTTTACGAGCCCGGCGTGCGTCACGCGCGCGTCTACCTGCCCAAGGCGTCGGACGACGACGAGGGCTTCGTCAACACCAAGGCCCCATACCAGCACATGGCGGCGGGCCAGTGGGTCGACATTGACGCCGAGTGGCACGGCGCCGGCATCCCCGTGCTGGGCAAGGTGGGCAAGGCGCTGCCCGTGGGCCGCGACGTGCAGGTGCTGTCTGCGGGCGAGAAGGAGAACGTGGCGTCGCTGCCGCTCGACGACTACCGCGCCGTCGAGCTGTTCCCGCCGCCGGGCGCCAGCAAGGGCGGGCGCTGGGGCTCGACCACGTGGCTCGAGGACGACGGCGTGTCGGTGCAGCACAAGAACCGCATCTCGTCGTACACGTTTGAGTACACGGCTACCAAGGGCGAGATCAAGACCAAGTTCAACCGCGACGAGTCGTCGGGCTTCGTGGCGCCGTGGAAAACTTTGGTGGCGATCCTGCCGCCAGGCGACGAGCGGAAGGTGGTCAGCGAGGATGGCAGGACGGTCAAGGCGCTCGGTGTGGACGAGAGGGGGCGCACCAGGTTCGAGCTAAGCTGAGGCGCCCACAGGTAGTATGGGTGGATGAAGGAGAAGCCGGTTAGAAGGAGAAAATAAAACAAGTCACACTGCATATTTGATCGTGTCCAGTACAGTGCCAGAACTCTCGGAGAATGCGGAGAAGACATGGTGGGGAAATGGAGAAGTGGGTCGGTCTCCGTGGGGTGGGTTTGTGGTTTGAGGGATTCATCAGACCGGGGTTTTCAGCCGCACCCTCAGTGCTCAAAACCGGCCTTTCCCCTGCTTTCTCCGACCGGCGCAGGTCCTGCGTCCCAAACATCGGCCAGTCCCGCCGAGCTGCAATTTTGGACCAATGGAAGATGCCCTGCCAGACGAGGCGCCAACGCCAAACCCCCGCAAGAAGAGAATTCCGGTAGGCAGACAAGACGAAGAAGACTCGTGCCTGGCATCAAAACGATTCCTAACATGCACGTCGCCTAATCCAGCGAGCCTGTGCTGCTTGCCGCCGATCCAAGGTAGCATCGATCCCCCCTGTCGAGATGACATGCCGTCCACGATGCAAGACTGACGCCCCCGCAGGTGAAATGCGACGAGCAGCGCCCCTGCTCGCGCTGCAAGTCATTCGGTAAAGACTGCGTCTTTGCAGAAAGGCCCCCAGATCCCTACGAGTCCCTCAGGGACGAGATTGAGTCTCTTAAAGCAAGGCTCCACACTCAACACCAGGCACATCCTACCTCCAGCCCAGGCTGGCCCGCAGGCGCTGTTGATGGAGCATCCAGCCGCCCGCAGGGCGGCCCTGCCAGCGTGGGTGCCATCGACATCGCGTCTCCCTCGGTCCCAACAAGCACCCCAATGGGTGGCAGCTCCGCATCGCCAGGGACCGTCACCACCATCACGTCCGCCGCCACCATTGGCTTTGGCGCCCTTGGCCTGCAGGGCGGCAGCGGACAGACGGCGGCGGCGAGGGCTCCCAAGAGGCGGAAGCAGTCTCACTACGAGGTCGCCACGCTGTCGGCCCCAGACCTAGTCAACGCCGGCGTGATCACGGCGCAGGATGCCGAGGCTTACTTCCGCGCCTTCTTCTCGGGCTGCCACCGCTTCGTGCCCGTCTTTGATCCAGGCCACGACACCATGGACTCAGTCCGCCGCCGGAGCCCGCTGCTGTTTGGCACCATCTGCTCCGTCGGCTGCCGCGTCCTGTCGGGCCCCGACTCCCACCACTGCCGCCTGCTGGGGTTCCACACACAGCGCATGCTCAACGCTGCCGTTCTGGCTCCCAGCCCGACGCGGGGTAGCGTCTCGCCCCCAGGCTCCAAATGCTCGGTCGAGACGATACAGGCCTTGCTGGTTAAAGCCTGCTACGCGTCGGAGCGGTCACTCCTCGTGGTCATCGCCATGCGCATGGCCATAGACCTGGGCCTCCCCGAGGCCTACGACACGCTCACCGCAAGGTCTGCTTCCCGCAGGAGCAGGGGCTGCGCCGCCGGCAAAGGAGGACCGGGAGCAGGACGGCGCGACGACAGCTCGGCCGCGGGCGGCGACGAGGGCGACGAGGAGGCGGCGCTGATGCGCAAGACGCGCACGTGGCTCCACATCGCTGTCATGAGCCACATCATGCACGTCGACGCCGGCGACCTCCCCACGCTGCGCTTCCGCGGCGCCGCCAGCCGCTGCCGCATCCTCCTCGAGTCCCAGTCGGCTACGGACGAGGACCTCCACCTGCTCCCGCAGGTCGAGCTAAACGCCATCCGCGCTCGCATCCGGGCCTCGCTGGCCCAGCTGTCCAGCGGTGGCGGCAGCAGCAACTGCAACAGCAGTGGCAGCAACAGCCCCGGCGCGCACTGCGGCGGCGGCGGCGGCGATGACGAGGCGCTGATGGACGTGGTGCGCGGGGCACGCATCGACATCGACGTGTGGTTCGGCGACTGGACGCGCGTGCTGGCGCCGCACCTGGCGCGGCTGCCCTGGCTGGCGCCCAACCTGGCCGTGCAGCGCTTCTGGTCCGACGGCATGGCCATGTGCTCGGCCGTGCGCTGCCTAGGGCTCGAGGACGTGAGTGCCATGACGCCCGCCCAGCGCGCCGTCCTGCTCATGGCCAAGGCCTCGCTGCGTGACCACCTCGACGTGGTGCTGCAGGAGCCGCGCCTGTATCTGGCCAACCTGCGCTACGCCGCCGATTTTGTGTGGGCCAAGAACGCCTTTTGCCTGCTGCTGCTGCTGAAGCTGGACATGCTCCTGCCGGACGGCGACGACGATGAGGACGATGACGGCGGTGGTGGTGTGGGTGGCCGCGCCGCGCTGGTCGCCAAGAGCCGCGCCCTGCTGGCCGAGTTCGCCCGGTCCGTGGGGCCCAACAGCGGCGGCGGCGGCGGTGCGGGTGCGGGGACTGCCAAGAGCAACACGGGCGCCATGTACCTGCACCTGGTCAGGGTGAGCATCGAAAAGTACAGCCAGGCGCTGCAGTCCGACGCCAGCCGCGGCGACGGCATCCCACCAGCGAACGTGCCACCGCTGCCGCCTCCCGTGTCTGCAGAGATGGCAGCGGCCGGCAGCGACGGCAGAGGCGTGACAGCGGTCTCTGGCCCTCCTGGCACCGGGGCGGCGGTGTCGGCGTCGGCGCCAGCTCCGGCAGCCGGAGAGGGCGGGCAAACGGACCTCGAGTCCTTCGTTCCGGACCAGTTCGTGTTCGAGTGGGACTTCCCGGGGCTTACACTCTTCTCGTCGCCCACCACCGAGGCCACGTGGTTCGACGACTTTTTGACGGGGGCCCTGGACGGCGCCGACGACTTTTACGGCGGCCTGGGGTGGGCTTCGGTGGACTTTTCCGTCTAACTGGGGGGGTGCGTGTCGTCCCCTAGCTGTCGCACCCAGGCTTGGTAGATGACCATTCTGTCCCGCCGCGTACAATGTCGGTGTAGGTCGGCACGCTGTGGGAACCAACACGTGTCCGCGTCACTCCAGATCTGTAGCGCCGTCGCATTACCGTCCGCCTTTGCCCTGCATCACCCTGTCCGTTTACGCTTCCGTCGCGAGCCCGTGAGCCACAGTCCGTCCACCCATCGTATTCGTGTCCAAGACCTAATGATGGTGCGAACAGGCGAGACGTGGCGCAAAACCCTTTCTGACCCTTCCTTGGGGCAAACACGCTAAACTGTGCCGACCCGGAAACACTGGATCCAAACAAAGCGTTTGTTTGCCAGATGCCTGCCACCCTGCGTCTTGGGACGGACACGTTGCCGCCCCTTGTTTCCTCCAGCTCCCCTTTCCCACGGCTTTGTGCGATGCGGCTGCAAACAGAAACAGGCCAAGCGCCCCAGCCACACGGCCGACGACCTCGGGGTGGGACAGAGACGGCATCTCACAGGGCTGTGCTTCGACGGGCGGGCCTGGACACCCCGCCCGTCCGTCCGCCGAGACATGTGCGGGCGTAATATCGTCAAGAGCTTCCGTGGCCAGGGCTTGTGCCTACGGCCAGAAAGCCTCTCCTTGCCCACCATCCCACCATCATGGGCACCATCCTTGCGAGGCGTGACCTGACCCATCAAGCTACCCAACCCTCCTACCGGCTCTAGCGGAGCCTGTGCGCACTCTGGCCCGCTCGGCCACGGTGCGATACACTACCGCAGGCCCCTACCGCTAGCCCGTCTTCCCGCCCTAATGCAGGGCTCGCCGACGGTGGGACAAATCGCGGGCCAGAGCACACACGGTCCGCAGAGGCCGCCGCGTGCGCCTAGACCAACGATTCTGCCCATGGAAAAATCTTTTGCGCCTGCTGCTGCACCCTCCCCGCACTTCCCCATGCTATCCCATCGCCCCGGCGCGGGTCCAGCCAACGGACCACGTGAAACGAGCTTGGGAAGCATCTAGCCGTGCCAGCAAGGAGACTAGGAGAAAAAGCCCGGAAGCTGCAGCATTCTCTCCCCTTCCCTTCCGAGCAGTTGTTTTTTTTTTTTTTCGTGCCGTCAGCCACGTCCCCGGGGGGAGCACATGGAGGCATGCGGCCATCCGCGTCCCCCCTTTGCCTGCCGGCCAGCGTGCGGCGCGCGAACGCGACCTGAATGCTGCGCGTTGCACCGCGGTGCCCCCCCGCGCGCGTGCTGGCACGCCTCGTCCCTCGTCGTGGTTGGCTCGCCCCCACCCCCACAGGTCGATGGGCAGCGAGCCCGGCAAAGCAAAGCAAAGCAAAGCAAAGCAGAGAGGCTCGGGGTGCTAAACCCCTAGCGCCCAAGGGTGGCCCGTATTGCTCCCACTAAAGGAGGGGTCGGGTGGGTGGAACAGGCATGAATAGGAGGACAAGCGGCAGAGGCCAGCCCTATCGGAACCATCCGCGCCTCACCAGAAGCAGCACACGAAGCCCCCGCGTCGTCCTTTTTCGGACGGTAGCACCGCCCACACACACACACACACACACACACACACACACATACACGAGCGAAATGCGAAAGAAGCGTTCCCACACATTCCACCAGCCCACCATAGGGTACCTCGCCCCCCTCCCTGCCATGGACAGCCCCGTCCTCAGCTCGTGCGACATCGACGCAGCAGCCAAGCCCCTCCCCGACTGCACCTCTCCACCCTCCCCCGACCAGCCGGAGCCGGAGCAGGAGCAGGATTTTACTTTTTATCTCCGTTCTCGTAAACTTCAGCTTGCGGGTGGTGCCACCAGCCAGAGCACAAGCCGAGATGGACAACTCATCCCATCCCCTGGGCCCCTCCCTCTTTTTTTTTTTGGCCGCTTCGGCTTCCTACCGCGACGCTAGGGCCTAACCCAATAGCCTCGCCCATCCCCCGGACCCGCCCGGGTTATACCGCGCTGCTCTCCGCCCCCTCCTATCCTCCAATTCCATCGATCCATCCCTCCGTCCTCCGTGCGCGCCCCCGTGTCCCCGTCGTCGCACCACACGTTCCCCCTCCGGGCATAGGCAGGGGTGGATGACCCCACCCTTTGACCGAGCCCTTTTCGTTGGAGACACAGGGCCCGGCCGTCGGGGTCTCGGGAGGAGGGAAGGAAAGAAAAGACGCGGTCGAGACTGCTCCCCTCCCAGCCTGGCGCCGTGCCCCACGTCTCCAGTGCCACCGTCCTCCCCTCCTCGTCGGCTCCCCTCCGTCTCGCAAGTCATAGACCCGACGCGGCGTGACACAGGCCCGCGCCCCCGTCCCACACAGCCCGCCCAGGCGGCCTGGACCCCCCCTCAATCGTGCCCGCTCCCGGCCCGCTGCCACCTGCACGGGCGATGCCCGCGCTGCCTCCCTCCTCCATGTCGGCACCCGCCAAGGACAAAGAATGGAGGGCTGTGACAAGATGTCGGGTGCAACGCGGAGGGCACCACTACGACGATAGGCATCGAGAAAAGTGGGACACTATAACAAGTCTCATCGGGAGGCGCCACAGGACGGGGCTTGCGCAGGTTTGTTCCTGTTGTCAGATTTGCCCATGTAACCGAAGACATTATGCCAGGGCAGGAATCACGAGATGGTGCTTCCAATATTGGGGAAATGTCGCGTCCCTTGACGCTTTGGTTTTAAATTCGAGGCCAGCTGGCGGCGCTCGCGGCGCGCAGGGCTCTTTTTTTTTCTGTTTTTACATATACATGTCTTTTTCTCTCCCCAACACTGACCAAGCCTGGGGAGCGAAGTAAATAGGGGTTTAAAAAAAAGACATTGGAGGATTTAGGATAATAGGCATTTAAGGATTTAAGAGACTGGGGCAGTACAGTTCGGTGCGTTCAAGCACAACAAGGGGGATCCGCCAGTAATCCCGTGTAATAATCATACTTTGCGCGCACGCGCTCTGGGCGCAGGGGGCTTTTCAAACGGTGACAGGGAAAGGGAGAGACAAAATATTACATGCAACAAAGCCGTGACAATCCTGATCAAGGTAGTCGTGACGTCAAAGCGTCCCGCGCCTGCAAAGAGCGTAGGTGTAGTTGGGGCAGATGGGGGTGCGGGTGATTTGTTCATGGAGTAGCTCGTAGCAGCGTGCCGCCCGGCATTCGTTAAGAGGGCAATGCGATCGTAAATCAAAATGGTAATGAGCGTAACAGTAAGCGTAACAGTGAGCGTGGTGGTAGTCGTTATAACCAACGTAGTCGTCGTTGTAGGTGGCCTGAGGGTATTGTGGCTTGGCCGAGGGGAAAGACAAAATGATAAATGAAGCAAAAAATGGTTCCAGCATATTCTCCAGGCGGGGGAGCAGGAAAAGAGTGTGCCGCCATGGAGGAGGTATCAAGTCTATCGTCGAGGCGTGAAAAAAGGAGTCCTTGTCGGGTCTCGGTACATCCGGTGGTATCATAACAAAAGGCGCCGCCAAAAGCGAGCACGAAAAGAGTCGCAAGATAGCAGGGTAGAAAGATGGGAAAATAAGGGGAAAATAAGGGGAAAAGCGCAACCGTGATTTTGGGTCCGTCCGCAACGCCGTGCTAGGTGGTTTAGATTTTGGGGTAAGATGGGTGGGTCGGTTCGTGAGCGAGCGCTTGTCTTGTTGCTGTCGGGCGATGATTATTTCTTAAGCCCAACACGGCCCACAAGGCTCCTCCAGAATTTACAGGCGCTCCTCTCCCGGGCGGGAGACAGGTTGCGGGCAACAGCGGCGTCGCGCACCATGGGGCCCACGATGTCCTCGTCGCCAAGGTCGGGGAACTTGGTCTTGACATCGATCATGCGCGTGACAGTCGAGGGCGAGACTTCCTCCTGCTGACGGCGCCAGCGAAGAGCCTCAGAGGCATCGCCGTTGCCGTTACAGATGGCGGCGAAGCGGTCAACGACCGAATCGTGAGCGATGCGCCACTCTTGTTCGACCTCGGCCCACTTGGCCTCCGTCAGCGAGTACGTCTTGGATGTGGTGCCGTAGTGCTCGCCCGTGCGCATCAGGTGTTTGGTGAAGTTGACACGCGCCTGGTCCCAGTCGGCCCGCAGAGCCTGCAGAACCAGGAGATCCACCTCTTCGGGGACGTACGGCTTGGGCAGGACAGTGAAGTTGGCATGGCCCAGCCGGTCGGACCACGAGTCGTGGAGGTCGAGGCTAAACATGGGAGACGGCATCTCGGGGGTATAAATCGTCGCGGGAGTCGACAGACTCGAGCTGGCGCCATGGCGGAAGGAGGATATAGACGGCCTCGTGCTCAGCGCAGGCGACGGAAAGAACAGAGGCGAACCCAGGTCCGACACGGCACTGGGAAGCTGGTGCGGCTCCATCTTGGGGAATTCAAGAGGCGACTGCGGAGCCGAGGGCGCAGCCGACGGAGAGCCCGGGGTCATGAGGGGAGGCAGCAGAGGCGTCGTTGCCTGGCCACGTTCGCGCTCCAGGTCACGGCCGACGGCATTGGCAGCGGCAATGTCGAGAGGGGCGGGAATGGAGATGCTGTCAGAGCTTTCGTAGAAAGACAGGGCGGGAGTCGAAGGCAGCGGCGGCTCGTTGCTTCGGTCGAGGGTGCGGCGGCGGCCGTGTCCGGAAACCGACGACGACCTGCTCGAGGTTGCAATGGAGAGCGACGGGCGGTGGATCGAAAGCGAGGGGCGGTGTTCCAGCGTGATGTCGGAGCCGATGCTCAGACTCAGCGCATTGGCTCGCCTCTCGGACGACCGCCATCGTGACAGGCTAGGCAGGCGGCTGCTAAGACGAGCCGTGAAGCCAGACAGGGGCGACTCAAATCCGCTGCGCCCGCGTGGCCTCTTGGCGTTGTTTGGGCTAGAGCTGAGGTCGCTGTCGGTCATGAAGCCAGTCTCGTAGTCAACCTCGTAAATCGGGGAGGAGAAGCTGTTGGGCTGGCTGGCACTGCCATGGTCACACGGCTCGCTGCCTGAGGACGAGGTTCGCGCGTTATGTTAGCAAGCTGGGCAAGACAGAGAGACAAGGGGTGAGCTCAAGCTCGCGGCGTGGCATACATAGGCAGTAGGAGCCGTTGTCCAGAATCTCAGAACCGTCGGGAGATTCGTAGAGCGGCAGCACGGTATCGTCAACATCGTCCCTTTCGAGTGGGTCTTCCTGGACATCGGGCAGTAACCGTTTGGGCGTTTTGCTGACGGGTGCGCCGGGGGTGACAGGCGAGACACTAGGAGCATGTGAGGCGGTTGCGCTGACAGGGGAAGAGACGGAATCCGATAGACACGGCGAGGACTGGGCGAGGTCGAGCGACGAGGTGGAGCTCGAGTATCGGACGTGCCCGCCGCGCTGGGAGAAGGTGGGAGTGACGGGCGAGGCGATGTCGGAGGAGGAGTTGTTATCGACGACGTAGATGTAGGCCTGCTCAAACTCTTCCTGGCGCTGCTGCTGCACCTTGCGGCGCTCGACAAGCTGTGGCAGAAACAGCGGCTTTAACCTGGACGACATGGTGACTGCGTGGTTGTGCGTGGTGTGAGAGCTCGTGTTAGGCGGGCATCAACGACGGCAGCGCGCGCGACGTGTAGGCGATCGACGCCGCTGTGTTCAACGAGGACTCGAGCGATTGTTGCGCGTTGGTGATGTCGAGATGTCAAGTATGTTGTGTGTATGTGTGTTTTTTGTTGTTGCTGCTGTTGCGGGGAGATCAGCAGCGTTGTGGCCAGCGGGGCGTTGGTAGTTGCCAATTGCGGGCTAATAAAGGCGGCGGCTGGGATTTTGCAAGCAGCAAAAAGATTCTGGGCGGGCGCTGGTTGCGGATTCTGGGGGCAGCGTCGAATGGATAAATCAATCGAACGCAAGCACTGGGACGCTAGGTCCAGTCAGGAATAACTGGAACCCAACGGAAACTCAATCAGGCGGTGCGTGTGCGTCCAGCCAGCAAAGCAAGCAGAGGATGAGGGTGGGGTGGGGAAAATGGCGGGCCCTGGTTGGTGGAAATGTGGGCCCGGTTGCGTGCTGGTTGCGTGCCGGTTGGCTGGTTTTGCTGGGGGCTTGCCGGTGGGGTTGCTGGGATGACGCTGTTCGCTGCTGGTTCTGGTGCTTTTCCGAGGCGCAGGGATTAGGTCCTCTAGCTCTCAAGCTTGAATGCAACCCGTGCTTGCTGCACCCGGCCGCCTCGGCTTTTCTGACCAGCCCGGGGAAAGCCAAAAATGCCCAATTGACGAGTGACGGCGGTGTGCAGTCGACCGTCAAGTGCGAGTATCCCGCGCGACTCTGCGGCAGCTGCTGGGGCCGGCTGGCGGCGCGTGGGGTGCAGAAGAGCTGGAGAGGCGACACTGGTCCACGTGTTGCTGTTACTACCTGGCAGCTCGGTCGGGCAGCCGGCCGGATTCCTGTCCTTCAGGCGACGACGGAGTGGTCGGGCGGAAGCGGTCTGGTCTGTCGTTTAGGCCGGCGAACCTGGTCGGCCAATGCTTTGCGGGAGGGAAAGAAAAAAAGAGACGACGAAGAAGATGAGAAGAAGCCCGGTCGTCCAATCGTTCAGATGCAGCCCGGCACGGTTGGAACGGCGCTCCAGGCGGGTGGACAAGGGCTCCAAATTTTACCAAAGCTTTCGCGCTGCGATGGCTGCTGCTGCTCCTGCAGGCTTCCGGTTTGGCTGGACTGGCAGCCCAAAACTCAAAACGGTCGTCACACGTGATCCGGCAGAGATGACCAGACGCAACGAGCCAACGGGACGGGCCAATCGAGCGCTTGCGCGTGTTGCGGCCGGGTCCGTCGGCTGGGAAGCGAGCTCTTCTGGCAGCCAATCGCGGGCCACCAAGTCACGAGTGGGTGTGTGCGAGAATGTTTTTGTTTTTTGGTGTGTCGATGGATGTTTGCTATTGCTGAGCACCAAGGAAATCAAGGACGGCCGAGGACGAGGGCGGCAGACCTCCAGCATGTATAGCACAAGCAAGCCCGACGACCCTCCGCCTGTCTCGCCGTCCAGCACAGACGAGTCGCAACACCCATCGACGCGGGACGGGCCAGGCAGGGGCGTCGGCAAGGGGCCTCTTCCACCGCATGTGGGTTGTGGATGCAGCGTGGCAGCGAGAGCCTGCACCAGCACAACCAGCAAAGCGTCTAGGCAGACAAAAACGACAAAACGCAGGCTTGGGAGAAGGCGGGAGTGTGGAGCAGGCGACCTTCGCGGTCGCTGGCGGAAGCTGCGGAGCACTTCCCCTGGTCCCGGTCCTCAGCGCCGGTGCCAGCAAGCGACCCGGCCCACTGGACACCACCACAGCACCATGCCTTTTTTGAACTGTCTTGCCCCAGGGGTGCTGACTCGAACTCCACTGCGATCTGCCGCCATTTCTGCTTTTTTTTTCGTCTGCCGCTTATTGCTGTTGCTGCGCCAGGCACAAGCTCGGCCAGAATAAAAAAAAACAAGAGGCCAGGCCGACCCCATATCCCGCCTGGCACGTCCCCCAGACGGTCTAAGAGCTTCGTTCGGCTCGTTTTCACCGCGACGGGAACAAGCTGCCTACCAACCGACCTCGCCAGGGACACAGTTTGTGCATCCGCGGGCTTATGGCTTCATGTCTGACAGCGCTGCTGATGCTAATAGGCACCGCTAGGACAAGCCATGTTGACCCTGAGTCCAAGGACTTTTCTCGTTCATGCGCTGTTGCTCGGCCTGGGCGATGCATCTCGCATGCTTCTGGAAAACCCTTAAAGTCCTCGCATAAAAGTCTCATATCGTGACATGCATATCGAAGGAGCGGATCATATATTGTCTTATCACGCCTCTTCCTTTACACCCATGTCCCCCCTGCAGCGATCCCCACCTGACTGGACCAAAGGATTGCTTGTGATTTTTTCTTCCTTTTTTTTTTGCCCACGTTCAGCCATACTCGTGCGGGCTAAAAGCGCCTGCAATTTAACGGTCCTCCGGAGTAAAGTGCGGCGGGGCAATTCGACGTTTTCGGGGCAATTCGACGTTTTTTTTGTAACACTTTTCCCTACCCAAATTAGCTAGAAACCAATGTATCGCCGAAAAAGGTAATAAGCCGCCCACCACTTTTTGCACGGTGCACAAAAAAATTAAAAGTAAAAGGCGTAAATTAAATTAAGCAAAAAATAAAGTTATTTAAAGCAAATCCGTACCGGTTAAATTAATAACCGGTTTGTAATTTGGATTTACTTTTTTTTCGTTATTCGTAATTTCCGGTAACGAAATTTCGTA